TGCTTTGTGGTGTTCCTGGAGCCTGGAAGGGGTCGGCTTGCTCCTTGGGGCATCAGAAGGGGCTTCTCTGTGGCTCCCCTGCACCCCTCTCTGCTGTTGGCTGGGGTGCCCACATCTGCTAGGGAACAAATCAGAGGCAAAGAAAAGTAACCTAGGGGTGAACCAAGTCAAAGGAAATAACAGAACTGTGCCCATGGTGGAAGATGTAACAGACGGGACTGCTGGAAAAAAAGAGGTATGAGAGAGGGGCAGGCAAGGATGCTCCCCTCCTCACTCATCCAGCCTAGGACATGAAAGAAACAGTCACAGAAATCAAAAAGAGCTACAAGGACAAGCATTCGATAATGAGTAAATAACCCCAGGGAAACCAACAGCTTCATGATTAGTCATGCCTCTGGTGGGGATCTTGACAATTCTCAGCCTTCTCCCCAAGGGGGATTTGAACACGTCTTTGCTGCTGGCTCTTTTTCCTAAGTTTCTCCTTTTGCTAAAGACTACTGTGCTATCTTCTTTCCTGAACGTATAACCTCATCCGCACTTCCTTTCCCCAGACTAATTTGGATTACGATCTCATCTATCCCCAGGTCCCCTCACCTGAGATCTGGTTAAATTCCCATCCTCCTTTGCCTCATATCACCACTACCTCAAGGACCCGGGTGTCAGTAAGTCCTGAGGTCTGCTTGTGTCTTGTTGTTTTTAAACCTTGCTCCTAAACATGTTATAAACATCAGTATCTTCTTTGCCCCATGAAATACTACAATCAAACCTGGGCTCTGTCGGGAGAGTGATTGTACTAGTGTGTTCTACCATTTATTTGTTTCTTCTCTTCCCCAAAAAGCAATAAAACTCTTCTGACCTCACATAGACTTCTTGTTCCCTAGTCTGGCAAGGCTTCTTTTCTTCTCATTGACCACCTTCACTTTGCCTTCTTTATTCATTCCCTTTTTTCCTTTGTGTTCTCTTTTGTCAAGCGCTCCTTTTTCATTGTAGGCCTGCTCTAGGCACCACTTCCTAAAATTGATTCCATTCCTCCAAACACGCCTGTTTATTACTATCTTGGGTCTATATGACTCCTAAGAAAGTTCTCTCTCCCGTTTCTCTTGTTGTCACCTTTCATATATGCTTTTGTCCATTGTCATTATGTATCATTTTGGTCTGAACACTTCAATGCATATGAACTTTGTCACCTATTTCTTCCAATCAGGCTCCAGTTCTTTAGATCTGAAAAGAGATTTCTATATTACACTCTGTTCTGTTTTTCCACTGTTGAATCCCAGATGTTTTTCTGCAAGAAGGTATCCAAAGCACCTGTATTACCTGAGCTTCCAGTGGTGCTTCTGAGCAGCTGTAGAAAGCAGTGTCCTCCCCGCTGGCGCTGGCGTGGGAGCCTAGAAGACAGATGTAAGGATAAAGTAAACAGAGCCTAACCTCTGACCTTCCCCAGGGTCATCAAGAAAGGTAATTTCAAAGCCACAAAGACATTCAACTCCACGAGTCCCTTCCTCTTCTTCTTCTCCAGAGGTAACCTGCACATTTATCCTGGGTGCCCAGGCAGTTAAATATAGAAAAAGCTATCTCTTAAGCTCTAATCTGTAGGAAAATATCCCTGGAAAAAAATTTTCCATGTCAAACTTCATTATTTTCCTTAACATCATAGTGTTCATTCTCTACCTGTATCTATTCCCCAAAGGTTAAATTTACTTCCAATCCTAATTTCAGGTAAATGTACAAATAAGAGTGGAAGACTCAACATTGTTCCCATGTGAACAACAGGAAGCAGGAAAAATTAACTTCACAGCTTTCACTTATATTCAGAGCTGATGAAAACACAGTTGTGGAGGTTATTTAAATGAGAAAGGCAGCGCTAGAGGTAAAAGAACAATTATTTATGTTTCTGGGGCAGAAAAAGAGGTCAAGGGGGAGTCACTCATGGGGAAGCCTTATTAACAGATTTTCAGAGTAAAAAAAAATGGCCTCTTGTGTGTGTAAAATTTTTGAGTGACAACTTTGCACAAAGTGTTGAATCAGGTGACAAACTAAAAACACTGCCTTGATTCTCACATAGCTAAAAATGGGGAAACAAAACTTACACCAAACTCAATATCTCAATCTACAAATGCCAGAAACACTAAACACTGAAAAACCGAGGCCTAATCTCCGAAACCAGAGAAAGTAGTACTGAGTACTGTAAGAAACAACCTACTGTCCATCCAGGTCCTACAGAACACTGCAAGCCTCAAAACAAACTGAACACCTCAAACCAAGCCAAGGGTAACATTTATCTCTTACGATTAACAGGATGTGGATGCACACAAAAAGGTGATGAGACAGGAAAACAAGGTGGAAAGACAAATCCTTAGTTCCATAAATACAAATTACATGATGGCCACAAGCTGAGCATCCCTCCTTTGCCCGCAGTTCAAGTTACGGAAAAGCAGTCAGCTTTCTCCTTCATTCCCAACAAAATCTGGGCTCACATCTTCAACTCCAGAATGATCCTTGCTCCCTGCAACTAGAACGTTAAAGAAAACTTGCCTGTAGGTCACTGAGGGGTTAGCCAAACACAGCTAATAAAAGGACTGAAAGAGGCAAAAGGTCTGCGGGAATGACAACAAAGAGCCAAGCCTGTGGACCAGGTTCCCACAACACAAAACACATTCTGGAATCGGAAACCTCCGCCTCTGAAGGGGCTCAATGAGGATTCCTCAAAAGGAAGACGTAGCTTGTGACCCCCATGCAAGCTAACGGGGAAGGGCAACTGTTCCAGAGAGTGACCAAGGATGCCAGCAGAACCAAGGGATCAAGAGACTGAATCCAGACAGAGACCAGAATTCTCCGAAGACGAGAGGTGCGCCCGCCAGAAAGATAGGAGCTTGGAAGATACTAGGGGTTATGGCTTCCCATGATCTCGAAATCCTTGAGCCAAAAAAAGGGTACGGCCCGAAATTGGGAAGTCAACGTTCAGAGAGCTGGGGTCTACCCTTCAAGCAGAGGAGCAGGGACGAGGGCCAGTAGGTGATGTTTCCTTGTTTGGGGGCCGCTTCCCGCTCCAAGGACTCGGGCATCCCAGCCAGTGGGGACACAGCCGCGGGGCGCGGGGCAGCCTTCTGAGCTGGGTCCGAGGGAAGTGCGCGCGGGTCAAGGCGCGGCCTCTTTCGCTCCCTCGGTCCGCGGGTTTCGGGCCCCGGTTCGACGGGGCAGCGGGCTCTGGCTGGGCTCCGGAGCGCCAAGCCCAGGCCTCCGTAGCCTCGGTGAGCTCGGGCATCCCAGCCAGTGGGGACACAGCCGCGGGGCGCGGGGCAGCCTTCTGAGCTGGGTCCGAGGGAAGTGCGCGCGGGTCAAGGCGCGGCCTCTTTCGCTCCCTCGGTCCGCGGGTTTCGGGCCCCGGTTCGACGGGGCAGCGGGCTCTGGCTGGGCTCCGGAGCGCCAAGCCCAGGCCTCCGTAGCCTCGGTGAGGCCGGCCCGGCGCCCCCCGCGCGCCCCACACCCAGCGCACCCCCAGCCGGGCGCCCTGAGATAGCGTCAAGCGCGTCCCGCCCCCGGCACCGGGAGATGGCGTCACGCCTGGGCCGGACAGCGACGCCCAGGAGTACCCCGGAGAGGGGGCGCCGCCCGCCCGGCGTCCCCAGCGCCCTCTCCGGTGGGAAAACGAACTCCTCCCCCTGGGGCTGGGTCACGTGAACAGGGCTGAGTCCGGCTCCCTCACCTTGACCTCACAATGACCCGCCGTCTTTCTGCTCCAGTAAATTCTAGGGGTTCCCAAACAGAGCCCTGGGGCCTGGCCATCATCGACCTTCATTCCTTGGACTTTCCGGGCCTGGTTTATTAAGCCTTCTCTTGGGACCCTCAGGGAACTTTTATAACTCAATTGAAAAAAATGAACAATTGAATTTATGCTTTGATTACAACTACGTAAAAGAATGGTTCCGCATAGAGACAAAAACTAAACTGAGAAAAAAAATAAGTTTAATTATTGGAGAGATTGGATTCTGAGTAGATTTTTTTCCCTTTCAGTTTCTGCAAATTGTTCACTAAATAATAATTGCTTTTTGTTTGACTTTAAAAGTACTGGCTGGGCTCTGGTCTCTATTCTGTAGCTATCTGGCCTTAGAAAAGTCGTTTTACTACTTTAGACTCGAGTTTGTTCTGCACAATGAAGAGCTTGAACTAAATGAAGGGTTGGAAGTAAAATGGAGATAGAAGAGCTCTCTAAACATTTTAAGCAAATATATACAGTACAATATCATGTATTTAATGTTAAAAGATATATAACATAAAAGTCGCATACATTTATTTGTGCAGAAAAGGAGTAGAAGGATATGAAGCAACTAATTAACATTGGTTATCTTAGAAAAGTGGATTTGGGTGGTGGCCAAAAGGAACAAAAGGGATTCATTGTTTGGATTTTTTATGAGAATGTTATCTTAGAAATATTAAAATGAATAAGTTAAAATGCAAATAAAGTATATGATCTCTAAGATTCTTTCGAAGGAATCCTTAGACCTCAGTTTTGATATTTTTGTCATGTAAATGGGCACAAAAGATCATCAAAATTATTGAACTCCACACATACACACCTCTCACCAGGAAGTAAAATAGTGAAGTTACCAATCTGTAGCCATCAGAGGGCTTTGCTTCACGAATATTAATATTATTCATGACAGTTGTCTTCTTTCTCAGTTTGGCCAAGAAGGAAGTCCTGTGGTCACTTAGTGATTCCGTTTTTAGTGCTAACTGGCATTCTGGTTTCTAGTTCATGATTAGCTCACTAAACTGTCATTAAAACTGCAAAAAGATAGAGAGCCTCAGACCATCCAGATGTATTCAAGAATAGCTACTTTCTCCCAGATCGGGACACACACTCAGAGAGCAGCTCTTCAGACAAAGATGAAAGAGCAAACACAGGTAGATGCAAGCAAAAAAAAGTTTTTTAACTACCAGCCATTAACACAATTATGCAGTGAAAAGGCGTGTCTAATAAAAAAAAAAAACAGGATGTTCTGATTGGTGAAACACAGGTGATTTCCTGGTTTGATGCTGCAGTCCCAAAAGGGTGGGTCATATTTCCACTGTATCCTGTTTTAGAAGTCTTTATCAAGCAATCCTGATTTCTTTTTTGATGGTAGGAAGCTCAATAGTGTCAGTTTGATAGGAATATTAATAAGTAAGCTAATATAGTTTTTAGATTTATTAGAGAATTAAGTTACCTTAATTCTCTAATATAGTTTTTAGATTTAAGATATTAAAATAACCAAAAGTTACCTTAATTCTCTAAAATTTTGTATTATTCTCTGGTATTTAGAAAATTCTCTATTTAAGTTACTTATATGAAATAAACTTGGGGATCTTAAACACTGTAACTGGCTCAATAAATAGCTGAATGAAATTTCACAAGGATATCCCACACTAGGAGACTTTCCTTGCTAATTCTTTTGCTCCTATTTCCTTATTTCTTCTCTTATCTAGTTAACCTATTTGCTATCTGTTTTCCATCTCATTTGAAAGTCCTTCATTTTATTTCACCAAGTTTTTTCTTTTATCCCCACAGAGTTTTAAGAACTGATGAAGTGAAAGGAGATTTTTGAAGGTATTTGGGACATTTGGAGACTGAAGAGTTAAACTCCAATCTGTTTTGTCTACCTCTTCT